AATGTAACACAAGTTTCCATAAATTGACATAAGTTTACAAAAATTACCATAAGTTCTTGTAAATTACCATAAGTTTCCATAAATAACCATAAGTTTCCATAACATACCATAGGCTTTCATAAATTTCCATTAGTTTTCATAAATTACTACAAGTTTCCAAAAAGAAAATTACTGTAAGTTCTTATAAATTACCATACGTTTTTGATAAATTATCATAAGTTTTTATAAATTATCACAAATTTTCAAAAATTACCACAAGTTCCCCAAAGAAGTACCATAAGTTCTCACAATTGACCACAAATTTTCATAAATTGAAAAAAGTTTCCAAAAATTATTATACATTCTTATAAATTACCACGAATTACCATGATTTCTTATAGATTATTATAAATTACCATAAGTTCTCATAATTTACCATAAGTTTCCAGAATTTTTTTATTGTCTACTTTTTTGCCTAGTATAGTACAATTAATTTAAAAAAAAAATCTTAATGCTTTTTTAAACTGAATCTTTTGTTAAAGAAATTCTAAATTAAGAGTAAAAAACAAGTAAATTGTAACAATAAACTTGACATTTTTTCAGTAATAAAATATTGTTTTGCAAAAACAATGAAATCTTGAAATGAAAGGGAAATAAAAATACTATTCTTTGAAAAATCATTTCATGCACATACAGTTTGTGATTGAAAACAGGTACTTTGTCTTTTTTTTTCTTTCTTTTTTTTTTGCCTAGTAGAAAAAAATCAATTTATCTTTCATACATTTTTGTACTTTGGTTTATCTTGTGTTTTTGTTGTTGGGCAGGTACAGAATTATTATCAGTTTACTAAATCTGTGTTTGTGTGTATGAATGTGACAGGGAAGATAGAAATGGTTATTCCCAGTTAGGTGAAGCATCTGTAATAATCGGATACTGTAATCCAGTGCCGACTGATATGCAACATTTCGGTTAGTTATGGGCATGATATTTTGAAACATATCGCTTACACTAAAGCAACCATATAAAGCATCTTTCGTATCATTACTTTTCCTACAAATTTGCTGTTTATCGTTCGCTCTTGTTGAAAACTTCAAAATTGCAATTTCGTCTTTTTATTCCATTTTTTCCAAATAAAAATTATCTTCTATTAAAATTAATATTAATATTAATATTAATATTAATATTAATATTATTAATAATATTATAATAATATTATAATATTATAATTATTATTATTATTATTATTATTATTATTATTATATTATTATTAATATTATTAATATTTTTCTCAGTCTTTTTTTTTATATTTGAAAATTGAAAATTTTTCCTTAAAATTAAAAAATAGGAAAATTTTTTTCTAAAAATATTTTTTAACATTTTGAATTTTCAAGGATTCAAGTGTAGACTCGCGCTTACATCTCTCTAAATTCGTTAATTTTCGTTTAGTTCAGGCACGTACTGAATCCGTCGAGACTATAAAGTCTGCGCTGTGGAATTAGTTTTACGTAATGGATACTATGTAGTTTTGTCCTACGGGGGATATACGGCGAACAACGTTTCATCCAACCCAACATACAATACACTCAAAAACCTTTTGCGTGTTGAAACTATTTTATTTAAGACTATCATTGGTCCAAAACTCGAGTCCAATATACCAAATATATATATATACATTGTCCGCAGACTCGTGAAAGCTTTTGCATACTCAATTTCGTTGGTCAGAAACTTTCGCGGCTCATTCGTCGTGAAATTTTTTTTTTTTTTGTTTTCGTTTGCCAACATCGAGATTCCATATATATATATATAATTAAAATGTAAATTTGTTTTACATTTAACGTTTTTATTATTAAATTCTTTTTGCAAACGAAAAAAAAAACCGTTTTCATTCTCAATTAGTGGATATTTATCACTAAAATGTACATACGTGTAATTTCGAATGAAACTCGGTTTATGAAACTGTACATACATATTTTATATTCATGAAATACATTTTATGAAAAAATGTATCGTTTGCATTAATATTATATTTCTGGGTTTGAAAAAAAAAAATTGCTACCCTTTTTCCTGTGACGGAAAAAGTGTAATATGAGTTTTGTAGAAATTTGTATATATATATATACATATTTCAAAGGGGTAATTTTCATAGATTTGAAAAGTTATTTCAAAATGAAAACAGTGGAATTTCATTTAATTTTTAATTTAACTGTTTTTATGGAAAAAAAAAATATTTATCCCGAACAGCGATATTTTTTTATCTAGAATAGCGAAAACTTTTTAATGAAACAAATATTTTTTCCCGTGTATTGTAAAATTTTAGATATTGAATAATTTGTAATTTTTAGATTTTTTTAATTGTATCAATTAATTTAAAGCTTTATTTAAAAAAAAAAAGTAAACTAAAACTCTATGTATTAAAAAGTAAACTATTTTTAAAAATCTACTATCAAATCTAATTTAATATTTTTTTTCTGTTTGCAAATATTTGAAAAAGAGGGGAAAAAAACTAATAAAAAATCATAAAAGTCCAACTGAATTCACTTCTCGAAAAAATTGAAATTCCAAATAAAACTTTCGCTACATTCGTTAAAATAACCAGTCAATTATTATAAATCCTCTTTCACTTTGAAAATAAATAAATAAATAAAAAAAATGCATATTCGTAATAAAAAATGTATATTTCTACAAAGTTTATTTCAAAACACGTGTTTTAATAAATTTTTTTTTCAAAAAAAAAAAAAAAAAAAAGAAAAAAAAACAGTTTCGTTACAGATTGATTAATCAGTTTGTATGTGTTGTCGTCGTCGTCGTTGTTATTTATTTCATTCGGTGATGCATTGAAATTGGTTTGAAGATAAAATTTTTGGGATAAAACGTATGATTGGTGTGTAATATAGAATAATGCTTTATATATATATAAAACTGGGTACCAGCATTATATGTTGCGTATGTACATATATATATATATACAGATAATTTATTGGTAAGATAAACTTTACGACGTATAAAATTTTTTTTTTTTTTTTTCTCCACCACGAAAAATGTCGGGAGCATTAAATTAGATAACGTGGTGGTATGGATATTTCACTATACGAGAACAAATAAAATTTGAGTAAGCTTGGGTGTTTTCGGACCACAGGGTCGTAATGAACAGGTGCTACGTCATATTGTCGAAACCACACCTGTGACCTTGTTTTCGAAATCTGGCATATTCCAAACTTTGATGTGACTTTATGTTATGTATGGAATTCAAAATTTCAATGTAACTTTCACATCCTATATATTGAACTTGAAAATAGTATTGAACACAATCTATGTAAAATTGTCAGAAAAATTGTGAAAATTCCTAAAAGTAACTCCATTTTCGCAATTATGTGGTTAAAGAGAAAAAAAAAATTTGTTATTAAAAATAAAAATTTAAAAATTGATTTTAAAAAAATTTCGAATTTAATTTAGTTTATAATTGATTAAGAAAATAGAAATAGAAAAAAAAATCGACGACGCAGTAATTAGTTATTTTCGAGAGTTGATCAGCGGGACAGTGATTTGGAAAACATTTCAGTGAGATCATTTGCACCCGAGCGATTACACTCTCGGCACTTGGCCAAATTTTGCCGCCAATGAAGGGGAGTATAACATGAAAGGTTTTCGTCAAATAAACTTACACAGAATTAACGATGAATCACGAAGCTACGCGATACATCAACCCTCTATATATATATATAAAGAGTGGGGGGATCGCATTAACAACATTGAGGTTCGAAGCTGCTAATTAGCAAGGTTTCAAGCAATGTAAATTCTTGATTAACAAATATCAAATTATTCTCATTTAGAAATTATTTTTTTTTCACACAAAAATTCATTTTAAAAATAAAAAGAAAAATCGGTGGTAATTTGCAATAAATAAAAATTTGAATTGAAAAACCGTTTACATTTATGAAAGAAGTGATGGAGGGGGGGTCACATGCGAGAGCATCGATTTCTTCCACCTCCCCCCCTCCTCTATAGTTTTTACAATTCCCTCCGCATATCCGCTTTTCGCGGCAGTATAGAAAATGTCCGTGGTTTCTGCACGAATGAAGCAATCCGAAATGGAAATATTTTAAATCATTCGTTCGCCGAGGATTATTCATGGCTATGAATTCGAACCAATTTATTTTTATGTCAGTTCCGCTGATGGTAAAGAGTTGCGAATAATCTCCGTCGAGAATAATTCTTCCCCCTCCCCCCCATCCTTTCATTTTTTTTTTGAACGCGCGGGCAAAAAATGAGTTATTTGAATCTGGTGCTAACCGAATAGAGACAACTCAATCGAAGAATATGTGAGGAATAATAACGTCATTTTTCTTTTCCTTTATCTAATATAATCTTTTTTTTCGGTTTTTTATTTTTTTTTTAAATCAATTTTTATTAATAAAAAATTATTAGTTAATAAAAATTTATTATTTGGAAATAATAAGTAAATTAAAAAATATTATATTTGTTTAAATTTTTCGAAATTTGTCCACATTGAATAAAGAAAAAATCAAATAATCGTAGGAAAAAAATTGTCAGATTTGTGAAAAAAAGAAAAGCGTGTGTTCAACTCGTTACAAAGTTTGCTTTTTAACAGGAAATAATTTGAGGAATTAACTAGACGTTGGAAGACGAGTTGACGGTTTCACTGAATTCTCATCTGATAAGAAAAGAGAGAAACCGGCGGGCACTTCCAATTATTCTCGACTTTTCACTTCAAAATTTTATTCTTTGAATTATAATGGAAGTAAAATTCCGTCACTCATAAACCATATACACGGAAAATTTATGTCTCCTGTTAAAAAAAAAATTCCATTCTCATTTTTTTTTTCTATTTAAAACAAAAATTAAAAATAATGTCAATTATGAATAATATTTAAAAATTTTTTTATTTATATAATTTTTCCTTTTTTTTGTTGAAGAAAAAAAGAAAAGATGAATTTTTTTCTCCTTATTTAAACACTCATAAATCATCAGTTAAAATAATTAAAAAATTTATCTATTTTCAGAGTTGGCGAGTCTGGCGAATGGGATGAGCAAAATGGGATAAAAACTCCAGACAACAACACAACCTACACCATAAAAAATTTAACGCCCTACACTGTTTATAGTTTTCGAGTATCAGCCGTCAACGCAAAGGGTCGAAGCAAACCAAGTCGTCCGACTTACTACATATTCACTCTACGTGAAGGTGAGTTTAAAAATTTTATCACTTTTTCAAAAAAATTGAAAAAAAAAAAAAATTTCTTTACGCAAAACTTTGTTATTTCATAATCAAGTCACTTTTTTTTTATTATTCTTCTTTTTTATTTATATATAAATATAAAGCACATAAAATTTTTTTATCATAGTAAAAAACATATATATATATATACATTTTTTTTATCTCATTACTGCAAAAATTTGTTAAGTAAAAAACTTTTAAATTGTAAGTTTCTTTGAAGAAAATGTGATATATTAATAGAAAAGGGAAATGAGTTTGATGTATATATATATATATATGCGGAGAAGAATTTTTTTTTACATCAGAGCATTAATAATCAAAAGACGTTTTTGCGAGCGAATTCATTTTATATATATATATATGAAGGTGTTTCCTTTTTAATTTGACTTGCCTCTAAGGAAGGGCTTTTTACACTATATAGAAAAGGTTGCACTAATTGCAATGAAAAGAGTTCCAGATCACGTTTAACATGACGAGTGCGCGCGCGACACACTTGAATCTAAACTCGACAAAAGTGGGTTAAGATAGTCGCCAAAGATGAGTTTTTTTTTTTTTGCCCTCCTTATTATGACTTGTATTTTTTTAAATAGAATTTTCTTTGCTGAAAAATTAAAAGCAATTGATTTATTTTTAATTTTATTTGAAATTTTTCAACGATATTATATTTGATTGAGTAATTTTTTAATTTAAAAAAAAAATTGAAAAATACACTCTCTAAATCTGAATTAGTAAAAATGTTTACTAATTTAAATTAGTGACTCACTTTTTGCTTCTGAATTAGTAAAATTTTACTAATTAATAGTAACTTTTACTAACAATTAGTAAAATTTAACTAATTCTAAAGCAAAAAGTGAGTCACTAATTCAAATTAGTAAACATTTTTACTAATTCAGATTTAGAGAGCATTTTTTAAAGTTTTAATATACAAAAAAATTTGTGTTATGAATTTATGTTTATTTAAGTTAATTTATGTTAATTTAAGTTATGAATTTGTACTGTCAGTTGCAAAAAGAAAATTTAGTTTGAATTTAGAATTTTTGTAATTTTAGTTACAGTAGTAAAAGTATTTTCAGTCAAACAATACGTTTTTGAGTACCCACTTGAAAAGATTCCCCGGAAAGTGCCCCCTGGAGATTCTATCAGAATTCCGCCGGAACTTCCAAAACGTCATTCCATCGGAATTCCATCGGAATTCCAAAGAATTTCCAATGGGATTCCGAAAAAATTAGGACTCTAAAAATTTTGAAAAAAATTAATCGAAATTCCGCCAGAATTCCGTTGGAATCCCATCGGAAATTCTTTGGAACTCCGATGGAATTCCGACGGAATTACGTTGGAAGTTCCGGCGGAATTCTGATAGAACCTCCAGGGGGCACTTTCCGGGGAATCTTTCCAAGTGAATATTTATAAATTTAGTCTCAGTAGTAGAATTCAGTTTTAGTCAGACAAAGCGTTTTAAACTAGTAATTTTTTTTTTTGCCAAACAGTAGTAAAAGAAATATAGAATCAGACAAAACTTTTTCGAAAATTTTTACATCGAGTCTCAGTAGTAAAAGTAAAGTTTCAGTCAGACGAAACAGAAGGAGAAAATCTGTTACAAAAAACTGTTACTTGTAATAAAAATTATTTAAAAATTTTTTACATGCATTATGAACAATTGAAAAAAAAAATTTCTATAATTATTACCAAAATTTTTTTTCCTTTTTTTTGAGAAACATCTGTCGCCTTTGAAAATCTGTCCTGGAATAAATGCAACTTAATCAGAACTTTCTAATTATTTGCAAAGTTTTTCATAAAACATTTCTGCAAGGGGGTGCGATGTAGAAGGGGGAGGGAAAAGGGTGAATGCAGGAGAATTCTACTGCAAGTTTTAAGCTACGTCCTCATGAAAGTTGGAAGTTCGTCGAGAGTAATTACATAGTCCTTAATGGAAATTGAAATGAAAGATCATAAAAATTTCATAAATGGTAAAATTTCGCCAAACCCTTCATTCAGTTATATAATCTCAGAAATCAAATCACGTTATAAAACATAATGTGTTTAATTATTCATCATTTCGAGAGAATTCTTAACAGAATTATATTCGCTGAATAATAATATTCAGAAATCTTACTTTTATGAAGGGAAAATTATTTTAATCCTCAAATGTAAGTTCATTCTGTGATAGCATTAATGAAACAGTAAAAAAAAAATCAATTTTATAATTAAGAAAAGTTAGTTACTTATAGGAAACAAAAAAAAAAAATTTTATATAAATTTAAAGAAATTTTTTTAATAAAAATCTAAAACATTTTGTACTATTGTTATATTTTTAAGATATTAATAATTACCATTTTTTTTTAATTGTAAAAAATTTTAATCGTTGGACAAAACATTATCGGTTGTAAAATTGTTCTTATAATGGCTTTCTTATAGGACAAAATAAAAATAAATTCCAATTGTTACGAAAAAATTTTTTCAAAATAATATCGATTTAAATTAAATTTTTTTGTAAAAAAAAAAATAATACGGAGGGGAAATTTGAAAGTAAAATATGAAAATGTTGAGCTTCATTGTTAAATTAATTGCTACATAATAAACACAAATATATCGTGTTACATTACAGAGTCGAGTAATTATGGTTATATAGAAGGAGCTGCTGATAATAATTAGTGCAGTGTTTCATGCGAAGCCTAGTGTATGTCGCTGAAACTCCATATATATATATATATATTCCTAAGATAATTAATAGTTTCTTTATTCTTCATCAACTGAGGAAACACACGTCATATGTATTATCCTCCACTAATACGAATACATATACTCTGATTAAATAAACAAATTTGTCGCAATAATACATTTTGTATTAAAGAAATTTTTATATCAATTAATTAATTTTAATTTTTAACTTAATTTTTAAAAAAATTTCATTATTTGGATTGAAAAAAAAATTTGCTATAAATAATTTAGAGACAAATATTTAAATTAAAAATCCAAATGTTTTTTTGTATTCTATTGGTGGTAAAAAATTTTTATTTGACACGAAATTCTTCAATATATATATATATATATATATATATATATATATATATATATATATATATATAGGGTTCTATTAACATTCGTCTATTTGCGTTCATTTCACTTTTTTTCTCGTCGCATTGTCGCATATGAGAAAAACGCAAATTTAGCATTTTTCCTCCCCCACTGCAATTAAACTCGGGCAAAAGCTCGTCGAGTCGCTTCATATTTAAAGCAAAGTCAGCCGTTGGAATTTAAAAATTAAGACTGTTATAGAACAACTGTATTCGCGATAAATCGAGACCCAAATGACGCGCACTATGACGATAGCTATAATTGATGAATCGAACTTGGTTAGCGACATTGATTGCGGAACCATTCATTCACAGATCAAACTTTACCGATAATTCGTTTTTGAAAACGTTTTCATGACATTTGTAAATTTATTTTTGAAAATGATATCTTTATTTGTAACGAAAAAAAAAAATTGACAATTTTTTTTTTTAATTTAGAATTTATGGATCAAAAAATTTTAATTTACAATAACAATAATAATATATAATAATATATATTTTAATATATATATAGGAACAATAATAATAATAATTTATAATTCTAATTTTCGAAATTTTCTTATTAGTTGTAAAAGACTTTTTTACTTTATTTAAAAATCCAAAAGTAGTAAAAGACAATTACAGGACGTAAATATTGAAATTTGTATATCAGTATAGTAAAAGTCAATTTTATTCAAGACTTGTAATTTTAGCTGTAATGTATTAGTAAGACAAATTGTAAAATTTTTCCTAACTTTTATTGTTTTTTTTTTTTTTTTTTTTTTCAATATTTTGTGAGTTAAAATTATAATTTTTCTTGCTTTCGTCGAGGCGACTGGAAAATACTGTTGCTAGTAAAACCTGTGAGCATGTCATAAAATCTCATTGAAAAAAATTAATAATGTATGGCACACACCTTCAGTGTAACATTTATAACTTTTTATACACCTGATGCCTTGACAATTTATGACTGTCATTTTTAAAAATGAAGTAACTTACACTTTTGTCACGACCACCTTATTCACGACTAAAATCAATGTTTACTGTACTTAAAAGCAATGTTGCCGATAAATATGTAAATTGAAACTTTTATTTTTGCGAAAAAAAAACTAATTACCCAAAAAGAGGATAACGGTAATTTTTATACAAAATAAATTATTATTGGATGTGAATTATTAAAACTAATAAATAGAAAGAATCAGATAAGTTGAGATCAGGTAATTTCAATTTGACAGATGGTTTCGAAATTTGTAAAATCTAATGTAAGTAGTAAAGATCAATTATAGTCAAACAAAAAGATTTATAGTTGGGAAATTATAGTAATCAGTAGTAAAAAAGAGTTTTGGTCAGCCATCACTATTTTTTTTATATTTCAGCTACAGTAGTAAAAACTAATTACAGTTGGTCAAATTTTTTTCTCTTATTAATGTTTGCTTTTAAGAAAAAGTAAATTTTGTCGGCCACAAATTAATTTTTACCTAATTCGTTTTTTCTTCCAAACAATATTTTTATTGAAAAATATGAATTTTAGTTCGAATTTTTAGTTTCTTGTTTTTTTTTTGGCTACTAGAAGAGAGTTCATTTTAGTCAGCCAAACGTTTTAGATGCCTGCAATAAGATCAATATAGTAAAATTCAAATTAAGGTAGACGTTACAAATTTTACTATTGTTTTCAGTAGAAAATTTGAGATATATTCAAACATTGAAAAATTCTTCTACTATTCACAGTAGTAAAAAATACTTTTGGTCGGACAAATATTTTTTAATTTCTTTCAAGTTTATTATCAGTAGAAAAAGTTAATTTCAGTTAGAGACGAAAATATTCAAACTCCTTATAATTTGCTCTGAGTAGTAGAAAATAGTTTTAGTCAGACAAAATATCAATTATATGAATTTTTTTTGGTATTTGTATTT